TGGGAAACAATTGAGTCAGTCATGAGAAACTTGCTATTAAAGTGAATTATCATAATTAAAATGTTCAAAAAGCCGCAAGATATAGCAAAAATGGAAATTTTCCTCTTTGCTCATTGTAATGCGAAATCAGGGTCAAAATATTTTGGCATGAGAATTCATTTCAAATGAACGAGGCTCGTACATACATAAGCATGTAAAGAGAAATAAGAAAAGGTTAAGAAACTTCTCACACCCATTGACTTCGTCAAAATTTATAATTCCCTCGTCATTTCGACAAGTCTAAGAGTCAGCATACTGATACTTTCCATAACCCAACTGCTTAAAATGTGATTAGATGACGACAAATAGTTCATAAATTATGTTTGAAGCAGTTTGGAGGGAAAATATACCATAAACTAAATAAAGTCATAAAAGTCGAATGAAATCATATTGTGTTGACTTAAACATATCTCTTGCTATCTATTAGGGGCGTTTGGAAGTTACGTATCATCAAATTTTATCATATATACCTCTCAGTCAATAGACAAATCATTTAAATATTAAATTGTTCCTGAATTTGAATCCCATCCCTTCTTAGTGTTACGTAACATCCGAATCGAGCTCTAAGCCTCAACATTGTATCCATAAACGACTACACTTACAGATTATAATATTTTCTTTAAAAGATTATGAAAATATTCAACGAACTCAGCGAAAAAAATGTTAAAGTAATAAAAAATTGTGTGAAGTAAGAAATATGAGAAATGCATGAGCATGAATGTAATAAATTGATTGAGGGAACTAAGAAGCTAACAAGTGGAAGTAGGAAAAGTCAATGAAAATGTCAATGTTGGAAACATTCGTTTACAATTTATTTAATTTAGTCATTTTGTCACTTTATTTGCTGCTCAGCAATTACAAAATCAACAGCTAGTTTATCATATATGGAAATAATATTGTTGTTGTTGTCTATTTTTTTGGTCTTTGGTATTGATATTTATGAAGGAATTCAAATTTATTGGTAAAATATTTGCGATATTGACAGTTTTTTGAATATTTTTCATAGAAACAAAGTTCAATGACACAAATTATAAATGAATGGCAATAAAGTTGGTTAAATAAAGTAATAAAATTTCCATAAACCGAGCTACACATGCTAGTGGATGCTGATATAATTCTAATAACCATTATAAACGATCTCAGAGCTTTTTAAAAAGTTTAAAAAATGAATTGACACATTCTAATGCAAATCATGCATTCCTCGGCACCAACCAACGCTACCCAGCATAAAAAAGTCTCCCAAATAGTCAGATCAAATTCGTTAACCTCATCATTTCTATTCAACAATCAATTAAATGCATCTAATCATTTATTTCATATCACAAACTTTCCCCATTGAGTCTTTCGTCAATAGAAATCAGATGAAATGCCACATTACATTAGTAAAATTAAAAGTTTATGTAGCCAATGTGGTGACACAAAATGTTCTCTCGTCAATAAATTACAAAAGTTTCATTGAACTGTAAATAAGCCACAACAGTTTTGTTTGCGTATAGTAAAAGTTTACTTTTTTGTTGTTGTGACAATCACAAAGTGCATAAGAATGCTTTTTTGAAAGAAAGGGAAAAAAAAATCAATAATGTATGCTTGTTGCGCGTCATTTAAGGTAAACAAACCTTTATTTTTATGTTAATTGATTGTCCATTAAGCGCTACGCACTTCCATGTTTAAAACTGTGTTAAAAACGCTATATTTAAATGGCTAACGCGCGAATGCATAATAAATATTTTTTTTGTGGATTACCATTTACAGTAGATTGGATATATTCATAATTGGAATGTGATTAACTTACTGTACACACAACTTAACATCGTAGTTGTCACCTATAGTCAATTGTACTTTATCCCCATGTCTCAACAATAATAATTTATTAACTTTTTGTTGTTATCGATTCAATTGAATTGATTGTTGCTCTTTTGCATGTTTTACTATGACTAAACATGATTCAATGAATGCTCATTCGCATAAAAATGCTGAGAGAATGAAGCGACGCGGAGTGAGTGAGTGAATACCATAATAATTGTGTGATTCTTGTCTATATGGGAAGTAAGGAACGAATTATAGCAACAGAAGAATGGGAAAGGAAAGAGAAGAAATAAAATTTAATAAGTGCATAGAATGCAAGTCACATAATAGTTTGTATCGTTAAATTAGACGAATAAATCGATTGAATTTTCGCGATACCATGTTGTGTGCTGTATTTTACAGTTAATCGTGAGAATTTTATAGCACAAAGACTTTCATTCCTTCTTCTTGTCGAAATTGAACAAATATGGACAATGGGGAGAAAAAGAGGAAAATGAGAATCGTGGAACTTCTCCGCGGGACCCAATAAATCCCTCATTAAGCATCAACTAATTGAAGATCGTGCACCCACGAAACTTTCACTATATACAAACTTAGACTCCGATTTGCCTCTAGGATTATTCTCTTAATTTTCCTGCAAACTTCTTTGTGCAGTTTTTCGTAGTTTCTTCTTCGTCTTCGCACACACCATTTATGCCATTTTCATTAAAAGATCCAATACTAATTTATGAATCTTCCAGCGATATTCATTAAAATTGTTGATTAACATCGAAAAAAAGTGTTGGTGTCTCTCAGCAATCTTCTGTTGCTTATTTTATTTCTGAACGTGTAAGTTCAAAGCTTCAAGCTATTGCACATGTAACATAAGAGATTCCAAAAGATACGATAATAAATCATAAGCTCGGCATATTTTTTTGTGAGTATGAAATGAAATTAAAACGCCCACAAATTAACCAATTCTTCTCTCCTGTCGTTTATAATGTCAGTCATATTCATTGTTGATGTTCGATCTGCAGATACAATTTGCATAAACATATTAAAAATGTATGTTATCTGAGGCTTAAAAGCATCATAATTAATGAAATGATTTTTCTTACTTTACGGTCTTTGCCGTTGCAGCAGAGATGATTAAAATTATTATTATTGCTGCTGTAAAAGACAGACAACAGACAGAAAAGAGACAATAAATGTGAGATCTTTTTACATAATGCAACATCGATTGGAAAAGAAATATATATTTATAAAAAAAATGGGTTGATAGTTGCTTAATTGACTTAAGATTGAAAATTTATGATGTTATTTTCTTTTCTTATTATTATTCGTTACAGAAATGACAAAGTAGAAATGTCTATTGCATCTGAAATAATAATAATACGAGTGTATTTAATATTAATAGCGTAACAGGAATAATAATAATTGGATGTCGATGTTTTATGTGCTGCGTTTATTTTACAAGCATATGTTGCCATAAAATTCAGTTTGTAGGCTTGGGATACTCTGTAGATCTGTAGAATTTCCATATGCTAGACAAACTTTTGACCTATTTAGCATTATGGACAGTAAAGATTATGTTTTCCTGCTCAGATGCAGACTTATCGTTAAATGTGCGTTTTATGGCTGGTGGAAATTTAATGATTGTTGATTCAACCAATCACAGCAATTATAACTAGAACTAGCTTACTCAGGAAGAACATTTTTCAGGAAGAAGTTCTTCCTCTAGTTTCAAAAGTATTCATGTGAGAGTCCTGATCGGATTTAAGTATGACAGTAACATCAAGTGGCTCCCATACACATATCATTCAACCATTTCTTATGGAACATATTATTTAAGTCTTGATTACATGCTAACGGTGGTGTGCAGTACTTAGGTGTCAAACTATAAAGATACATCAAATTATTTCATTTTAGCATATGATTTACTTTTTGACTAAAATTCTGTCTGAAGTTCTGTCTTAGTTTAAAAAATAATCGTTTTTTAAACAATCTTCTTTGCCCTTGTATATCTCATATGCTCCAATATACAATTTATGTCAAAAATTCTCATGAAGACAATAAATTCATGGAAATCTTAAGATATTCAAAACATGCCTATAAATCCCATTTTTCAACTTAAAGTTATTAATTTAATAATGATAACAGTCACAGATTCATAAAAATTCATTTCAAGCACGCGACCAACAAGACATCTGAAAGAAAACTGCGCCGTAGTTCCAACTGAGCATTAATAATAATAGAAATAATAATAAAAAGAGTTAAGATGAAATCGTATGTCGATCTCACATTTTTAAGGTATGAAAGCTAAAAGAACTTGTCCTTCCTACGCATCTATGCTTTGTGCATTTTCTTAATAAAAATTTAATTCGATTTAATCTCTTGCTTTTCTCTCTCAATATGCACTATTATTGACGCTTTTTTACCATCATGCATGTTGTCTAGATAATTTTAATTTATTCTTTCATCAAAGAATCGGTATTGTTCTTCGGTCTGTGTATGTTGTTCATGGGTGCAGTCAGGATTTTAGGAGGCAGTACTCAATTTTTTTTTATTAAAAATTGAAATGTGTGTGTAATTTCGACCTTAAGGGGGTGCTATGGATCTTAAGCACCCTCCTGACTACATCTCTAATGTTGTTGATATATCTTTTCAACATTGTATCAAGAAGAAATAAAGAGATTCATTAATGAACCATATATTCGCAAAACAGAATAATGTTTTTGTCTCGAGTCAGACTCTTTTTTGGGATATTTGAATTGTGAGATTTTTAATTTACCAAAATTTTGTTTTCATCGTCAGTTTTGCCATTGTGTGTTTTTTTTTGTATTTTGCGAATCGAGAATATAAATCAAAAGAATCAGAAAGGACCGCAAGAATATAAGAGAAATAATGATCCCCCTTGGACTTGTTTTAAGGTCCTCTTAATTGCATTTTCATGCTTCTTTTGTCGTCTTATTCGCCACAAACATACATATTTAATCCAAAAAGAATTCTTCTCGTCTGTGGCGATAAGATGAATTGAAAATTTTGAGATCGTGCCCTTTTTTATACCATTGTTTGATGCATGTATGAAGTAACAACCTACGCGCTTGATATTAAATTAAATTGTCTCTTTTTTTTGCTCTTATTAATTTCTTCACGTTTCTTTTTTATGCTTATAGGATACTAGTGGGCGCGCCCTTGGGTAAAAATCCACAGCCAAATACGAAGAGATCTGGAACATTAATGAAATGTCCCATAACGCAGTATCAAACTGACTGTGAAGATGTGTTAACAGATGGACGACAAAGTAAGATCAATTTCTATTTTAATGAACAGTTTGCAAATCTACAGTTCCTTTTGTGGTCAAATTTCATTGTTTTCCGTACTGTATAAATTTTTTTATTTTATTTCATGACCAAAAATCAATTAGATATTGAAGTTTCTTCAGAAAAGAGGGACATTCGTTTATTTTTGTAAGGAACAATAATTGACAATAGATAATAGAAGTAGTAGCTTTCAAGTGGAGGGTGAAAATATCAAATTTCGCACATCTTTTGTAAATAGTTATTCTATCTCTGCGTATGTCCGTCCGAATGGATATAACTTTACTTTAAACACAATATATTCACTTATTAGCTTACTTGACATTTTCCCAGCTGCAGCATTTATGTCCTGCAGTTTCATTTAACGACCATTATTGATATTAATGACTCCTCTTAGACTTATTAATAATTTTATCATCTTACCATGTAATTAGTCTTCCTTCTTTCCTTATGCATTCTTAATAATGATAATATTCATAGTTAATTACATCATTCATTTATTGAGTACAATGTGTGGAATCGCAAAATTAATTACAAATTACTTAATGATCCATTCACAATGAGATTTTAAAAGCTCAATAAAAATTTGCTATAATCTCGAGTTACTCATTAAAAATTCTCATGAGATTAGACATCGTAGGCATTTTATGGCGATGATCGAGAGTGATCGTGACCTTTGGTAATGAAAATTGTTTGTTTGTTTTTATGACAGGCAAGAGGAAATGGCTTTAATAACCTAATTTTGTAGATTTAAAGATTAAATTTATTAGAATGATTCATTTGATAGTGATTTAAAATTGAATTAAATTTGAAACTTCATGTCTTTGAAATTGCAATTAAGAACCATAATTTACTTGAATCATATTCACACAAAATTTTCAATTTTAAAATCTGAGCTTGATATTGCTTGCATTATGAAGTACAGGATCTGGTTCTTTGTTGAATGTAGGGAAGTGAATTGTTTGATAGAAGCTTTAGCAAGATTACGAAACTGATCAACTGATTTTTTAAATCATGTTTTAAATTAGATTGATCAGCCAATGTTTAAAGAACATTTTTAAAGACATGTGATTTAACAAAAAGCAAGCATTTTTGAAATCTTTAGTTTTATAAAGTTTAGAGTTTGATTTTTACGAGATATCAATTGCTTAGCTTTAGACGCTTTAGATATAATTTCAAGAAGTTTACTCAGACTCATTTCCAAGATTCATTTCTACCGCCAATATTCACCAGATTTTCTAGAGAAAAAAAATTGCAATAAAAGTCTGACCTCATCCACAGAAAAAAACAAATGAAAATCACGATCACCATCGATCATGCAGATGTTTTCGGTCTATAAATCTCATGAATAAACATTGCAAAAAATAATAGATTAAGTGAACATATTGTGCATATTTACTTTATAATTTAGTTTATTTCTTTTAGTAGTTAATCATCAAAAATCGGTGAATGAAGGATTTTAATTTTAATTTAATTTATTTTTTATTTCTTTCTTCTTTTGTTTTATTTTTAATGTTTTTCGTATTACAAAACTGTAAAATTTGAAACAAAAATATCTCTGATTGGACTTAATTGGTTCTTTTCTTTGCCATTTTTCAAAACAAAAAAAAATAAAACTTTAAAAATTGTACAAAAAATTTTACGTACTTGTAGATCATTATGGACGTTACGAGAAAAGTAAGTGGTGATATGGGTAAAAATGTTAAGAAAAAAAATAATTAACATGCGTTTTTTAACTAACCGAATGCAGTTCCTTAAGTGGCTTTGTGGCTTGTTGAGAAATTAATTAAAAATCTTTTTTTTTCTTTACTTTTCATGTCAACAGTGACTAACAACAATATATGCATGTCGTTTCCTTAACTAATTTTCATAATAAAATATTTCTTTTCTTTGTACTAATGCAAGTTCATTAACATGCAAGTCGTGATTTATTCACGATTTTGTTTTTTTGTAACTGATTTTTCCTCTTAAATAGGAAGAAAAAAATTTTTTTTTGTTATGTTGTTTAATTTTTTAACGCCAATTACGATATCGTGCAATGTTCTTGACAATAACACGAGAGGGACATCAGATATTGTGGAATTTTGGAAACTGCAAGGCGGGTCATTTAAAATTTTTTTGGAGGTTCTCAAAATATTTTTTAATTTTTATCCTCAAATCCTGCAAATCGTGCATAATGTTCAGACAACCTTAATTTCAATGTGTCTCAACCTTGTAATTCTCCACACTTTTTGCCTTCCGATTGCCATGATCTCGTGCCACATGACTCAGCATTCAATTGATTGAGCAACGTGACAAACTCAAAATTTGCATATCGATTGTGAACATACGTTTGACATTAATTAGTATAAACTGTTATAGCTGAAATATAAATTATACTTTACTTTCGACACAAATTTTTGGTCACTTCTCTCGAACTTGACTTGATCAATCATTGAGATAAATTGCTGTGAGTTATGAATCAAAATTTACTGATATCATTTTGAGTAAATTAATATCAATCAATGTAGAAAACATCAGTTTTGTCTGTTTTGGGGTGCTGAATTCAAATGATGTCATTTGAAATTGATTTTGAATTGCTTTGAAAGTTGTCACAAAATTTTAATGAACAAAATTATGGATTTTCATCTTCATTGAGCTCCAAAAAATAGATTTCTTGAATTACACTAGATCCATATAGCAAGACAACTCAAAATACCCCTTCTTTATAAAATGAGTGTCGTCATAAGGAAATAACCCCATTCTTTAGAAGTTGAATCGAATGCTTGAATTTTAAGTTTGACATAAATAAATATTGCAAGTGTGTTGACATTTTATGACCCTGATATTGTCAATCAAGCTTCAAAAAGTTCTAGAATGAGCTATTTTTGGAGGTTTAAAGTACAGTCAGTGATAATTTGGAATTTTTGATTGACAGTTCATTAAAAATTGCACAACACAATCTGCACAGATTTAATTCTTTAAAAAAGTTTAATTTTTATTTACCATAACACCAGCGGTGCTAGTCAAAAACCTGGTAGACATGGCTGTCCATAAGATTTTCAACAACATAGTCGCTCCCTCAAAACAGTTAATTTTTTCGAAAACTAATTGCAGTGCATGGACTGAAACAAACACTTCAAACATATCCAACTCAAGATCTCTTTGTAAACTCCCGCCTCAGTCAACCATTTGAAGCTACACGTTCCAACATCTCTGCTGTTTATTTTATTCAAATTCAATAAAGTTTGCAATTCAATTCTGTTGGAACTGCAAATATGCAACTTAACACTTCAAGCGTTATGTTTTCTCTACAAAATTCTCATAAAATGTAAATTTATTGTTTATGTCTGCAGTCTCTCAAGCCTTTCCTTTTATCGTCGAATTATGCAGAGGAAAAAATATTAATTAACTTTCCAGCATTTTTCATCTCTCGTCGTACATTTTGATATGTGCACACATATATCATTTATAATCATTTTGCTACACATCCCACTATGGGCCAGAAATGGAAAATTTTTCCAAAAATTATTTCTACAGCTTATATGATAGTCCTTATTCTGCCCTACATTTACGTCCTTAAAACTTAGCCCAAGTCGACAGCATGTCCGAGATATGGCACTTCAAAGTTGGTCAGACGACCATTTTCACGTTACATTGAAAATGCTCTCACCAGTCACTGGATGGATGAATCTCCTTCAAATTTTTTTTGGTAATAGCTTTAAATAGTTCCTTTATTTTAAGGTATAAACAATTGCAAAAAACTTTGGAAAATTTTGTGAAAAACTGGATTTTTCTCAAAAACCACGTGTTCGTCATACTTTCGTTTGTGTAGGTCTTCACAAGCACAACCAAAGTTACTAATTTCTTTTTTATATTAAAGATTACATCAAAAGCTATAACTTTTGCATACATGTCGTATAATTTTAACAAAGTTTTGGTATTGAAAAAAATTTTTTTTATAAAAAAAACAGCAATTTTTTGACAAAAATCGCTGTAGTGCTTCAGGGATACCCATGGTAGTGGAATTTTATTTTTAATTTAGAAAGCTTTCTGGATATGCTATCAATTAATGCAGTAAAATGAACAAGTGTTCTCTTGGCAAAGAGCACTTTTTTGACTCTGAAAGTCATATGTCGAGCAAGGTCAAAAAAGAAAAATAATCATAAAAATTTCAGTTTTAAATAAAATTTAATTTTTTTAAGTTAGATTGATAGATATTTTCAAAACGCGTCTTTTGAGTATAAATATGTCATAGTTTTGTCAAGTTTCATGATCAGTTTTTTAAAAAAATAGTTTTTTTCAAAAAAAAACTTGAAAAATAAAGTATTTGACTTTAGAATTTCATAAAATGCATTCTTTTTAACAATTTTTTACTATTTTGTCTAGTTTTGCTCCTCGTTTTTTTCCTAAACATAAATCAATAAGAACTTAACATAATTGAAGCCATTTGGAGGTTAAATTGAGTTAAAAATCGTTTAAAATTTTTGTATTTCTCAAATAGTTGTTTACACAAGTATCTAAGATATAAAGTGTTGCATAGTTTTGAAAAGGTATTGAAATTTTCAATATGTTAACATGAAAATTTTAGGAAAATTTTCAAGTAATATAGTCAATTTGGGTAAAAAACGCATTTTATATATGCTAGTTTTTAATGTTTTTCGTTTTTCTCAGCAAAGACTTTATGAAAAACTCTCAAAGTTTGCACACTTATTTGTTATATAAATGTTAATGACTCGTATAAGTTTTGGAATTTTCTATTGAGTTTTTCATGAGTTGTCCAAATCTGAAATTTTCAATATTAAAAATTCATTTTTCTCAATAATTCCGATTTTTTATTTATAAATAAATATCTTTTTTTGTTTCATTTTACAATATCTTTTCATTGATATGTAACAATCTACGAAAAAAATAAGACTAGCGAGAAATCAATAAAAAAAGTGTCAAAAATTTATGAAAATTCTACGCTATTTTAATTTTTTAGCCTTTTCTGGTTAATATTTTTAAGTTTTGTAAGAGTGTTATACCTTTTTGCAAATTTATAGATTTAGACTTTCATCTGCTTTCATCCACTAAAATTCGTATGAGTCTACGATAAGCACAACTGAAGTCAAATAAGCTTCACGTTGGCGACAAAAGACAGTTCCATAAGAAGAAAACCAGATATTAATTTTAATGCTATTTGAGCTATAATATTAAACTTTTTCATTTAGTTTTGTTATAAATGTTCATGTATTTAATAGCAGCCTGAAGATATAATTTAAAGCTTTTAAATAATTTGATTTTAAAAAATTCAAAATTTTTGGTTGTCGCCAACTTGAAGCTTATTTGACTTCAGTTGTGCTTATCGTAGACTCATACGAATTTTAGTGGATGAAAGCAGATGAAAGTCTAAATCTATAAATTTGCAAAAAGGTATAACACTCTTACAAAACTTAAAAATATTAACCAGAAAAGGCTAAAAAATTAAAATAGCGTAGAATTTTCATAAATTTTTGACACTTTTTTTATTGATTTCTCGCTAGTCTTATTTTTTTCGTAGATTGTTACATATCAATGAAAAGATATTGTAAAATGAAACAAAAAAAGATATTTATTTATAAATAAAAAATCGGAATTATTGAGAAAAATGAATTTTTAATATTGAAAATTTCAGATTTGGACAACTCATGAAAAACTCAATAGAAAATTCCAAAACTTATACGAGTCATTAACATTTATATAACAAATAAGTGTGCAAACTTTGAGAGTTTTTCATAAAGTCTTTGCTGAGAAAAACGAAAAACATTAAAAACTAGCATATATAAAATGCGTTTTTTACCCAAATTGACTATATTACTTGAAAATTTTCCTAAAATTTTCATGTTAACATATTGAAAATTTCAATACATTTTCAAAACTATGCAACACTTTATATCTTAGATACTTGTGTAAAGAACTATTTGAGAAATACAAAAATTTTAAACGATTTTTAACTCAATTTAACCTCCAAATGGCTTCAATTATGTTAAGTTCTTATTGATTTATGTTTAGGAAAAAAACGAGGAGCAAAACTAGACAAAATAGTCAAAAAATGTTAAAAAGAATGCATTTTATGAAATTCTAAAGTCAAATACTTTATTTTTCAAGTTTTTTTTTGAAAAAAACTATTTTTTTAAAAAACTGATCATGAAACTTGACAAAACTATGACATATTTATACTCAAAAGACGCGTTTTGAAAATATCTATCAATCTAATTTAAAAAAATTAAATTTTATTTAAAACTGAAATTTTTATGATTATTTTTCTTTTTTGACCTTGCTCGACATACGACTTTCAGAGTCAAAAAAGTGCTCTTTGCCAAGAGAACACTTGTTCATTTTACTGCATTAATTGATAGCATATCCAGAAAGCTTTCTAAATTAAAAATAAAATTCCACTACCATGGGTATCCCTGAAGCACTACAGCGATTTTTGTCAAAAAATTGCTGTTTTTTTTATAAAAAAATTTTTTTTCACTACCAAAACTTTGTTAAAATTATACGACATGTATGCAAAAGTTATAGCTTTTGATGTAATCTTTAATATAAAAAAGAAATTAGTAACTTTGGTTGTGCTTGTGAAGACCTACACAAACGAAAGTATGACGAACACGTGGTTTTTGAGAAAAATCCAGTTTTTCACAAAATTTTCCAAAGTTTTTTGCAATTGTTTATACCTTAAAATAAAGGAACTATTTAAAGCTATTACCAAAAAAAATTTGAAGGAGATTCATCCATCCAGTGACTGGTGAGAGCATTTTCAATGTAACGTGAAAATGGTCGTCTGACCAACTTTGAAGTGCCATATCTCGGACATGCTGTCGACTTGGGCTAAGTTTTAAGGACGTAAATGTAGGGCAGAATAAGGACTATCATATAAGCTGTAGAAATAATTTTTGGAAAAATTTTCCATTTCTGGCCCATAGTGCATCCATTGCATGATTCGCTACAATAATTCAACTTCCATTTATGGCAATCGATACGGAAATCATTTCATGTAAATCGATTTATTTCTTTCTGTGTTAAATGCCGCGTTGCGTTTACTGACAAATTTTCTTATAAAATAGTTCTGACGTTAATCTAGATTATTATGCACGCAGCGTGACGTCTTCTTCTCCATATCCAATAAATAAATCTTTTTTTTTCTGCATTGCAATGCAAATAATTTATTTTTATATTTTCAAAAAAAAATCATAAAATTCTTGTTGAATATGAAAGTTGTTGTGCATCTGCCATGTAAACACATGGCTTGGTAGACATAAAATTTATCATTGATAAGAAAAATGTAAACATTTTATCATTTTTATGTTTTACGCTTTGCCTGGCCTGTTTTTTGCTTGATAGTTCCACACTTTTGAGTTTTCAAAAAAAATATTTTATTTAAAATTTGTTTCTTTAAATTAGTGGAGCTCTAAAATTTGAGTTTAGATTAGATTGAAATTTTTGTGGCTGTTCGTTGGTTAATATTGGAGTCAAGAAGATGAAATTCTGAAAAATAAGATTTAAAAAAAAAGTGAAGCAGTTTAAAAAGACCAAATTAGGGGGAAGGGGTTACCTCGTGTAGGGTTTTAGGATTCAGAACTCCTACATCTCTAGAAAAATGTTTTATTTTCTAGGAATTTTCTTTAAAAAAATTCAAATCCTTCAATATATTGAGAACCCATTCCTCCAAAAATATATAGTGACACCCCTGAACCTGAGTTGTGTCAACGACTTAACACACGAGCAAAGTTTTAAAACTAGACCGGTGAAATGATCTTGTAAGAGAATTTAGACAAGACTTAGTCTGGGACTATTAAGTCCACTTGTACCAGGCTCGTACCCAAAGGGTGAAGGATCTGGGTGACAGATCCAACAAATATTTTTTGAATTTTCTGGAGTTACTATGAAAAAAGCCCGCTTAAAATTTATGCATTAAAATTTTTTTTCTCCTCTATTCCTCTCCTTTCAAATTCCTAGCCACATTCCTGACTTGTGTGATCTGAGTCTCTGATTTCAGCCCGATCAACAACACATCTCCCTCCTACTCACATCACATGTACAAAAATTCTTGATATTCGTCGTAAAATTCAACGAATGCAAGATAACAAACCCGTTTTAGACAGAATTTCTTACTTCTTGCTCCAATAACTCTGAATCAAAATTTAATTAATTTAATTCATTACATTTATTTTTTGATGTCGCATTGATTACATTAGTTTATATTTTCGTTGTTTGTTTGGAATTTCTCTTAAAAAATTATTTTTGGTGTTTTAAAAACATTTATTTATATCGAATTGCACATTGGTTGTACATTAAAAATATAGACTTTTGAAAAAACATCATTGAGTTGTGCAGTCGCAAGCCAGACGCATAAACTAAAAAAACTGATGTTTCTTCATAAAAAATATAAAATTTATATATCCAGAACATGTGTAACTAACCAGAGTTATGTGCTTTTTATTGCAAGAAATTAATGTTTTTGTATGAAGAAATGCTCACACTAGGAAATGTGTTTTTTATGTGCCCTAATTTGCACAAAAATATAATTCTCTATGCTCATAATATGATTCGGTATTTTATTAATTTTCACGACCATATAAGTAAGTGTCTTGATCTTATGTTGAACAAATCTCGTAAATCATTATGGCTTCAATTAACGATAATTAAGATTGATTTAAATAGTGGCTTTTTTAACATGTCGATAAGAAGTAAATAGATGTGTCGTAGAATTGAAGAAGCTCCATAAATGTCAAACATTTGAGTGACGAGAAATTTTTTAAGACTCAAAAAAAGTATCAAATTACATAAAGTGTGAGCATAATATTCAGTAAGGACATTAGTTTCATAACTTCTGTCATCAATAAACATTTATTAAATTTACGTCTCATTCCTATCCTTAATAAAAATCTTTAGGCGATGATGACACACTCTTTAAACCATTGGCAAATGAAATAAAAGAGAATCAATGGCTTGGTGTTTCAGTGAGTTCACAAAAGTCAACAGAAAAAGATCCCGGCGTGGTAAGTAATCGATTCTTATCTTCTTATCTATGTTTGTCGTATAATCATGTAAAATCAATATTTAATGAGCTCTTATCATACTATTTAGATTCTTGTGTGCGCACATCGATACATTTCCAAGCCCGGTAACTCGATCGACGATGCACAGCACGGAATTGGATTATGTTATATTTTGAGTAATGACTTTTCGTATGACGATGTTTTTGAGCCATGTAAGGGAAGAGCTAAAGACAAATTACATGAAGAATATGGAGTTTGTCAAGCTGGTACGTCGGGTACACTTTTGGACGACGGTACAGTTGTATTGGGAGCTCCTGGTGTGTTTACATGGCGTGGTAGCTTATTTACCAAAAATGTTGCTGGAAATTACTTAAGTCGAGACAAGAACATTTATTATACACCACACGAGGGACAGAATCCTCCAATTGACAAATATAGTTATCTTGGAATGTCAGTGGCAGCTGCAAACTTCTTCCATGTAAATACAACAACGTTCGTAGGTGGAGCACCACGATCACAAAATCATGGACAAGTAATTTTCTTCGATAAAAGTTCAAAACCAGCTACACCGATGGATGTAAAAAAGAAACTCGATGGCGAGCAGTTTGCATCAGGATTCGGTTATGAATTGACAACAGCTGATGTTAATGGCGATAGCCTACCTGACCTTCTAGTTTCTGCTCCTTTCTACTTCGATAAGCACGAAGGTGGAGCTGTTTATGTTTATTTAAATGATGAAAATAAAATAAAAACGAATTACGATTTAAAATTGACTGGAAAATACGAATCACGATTTGGACTCGCGCTTGCAAATATCGGGGATATAAATAAAGATTTTAAAGATGATATTGCGATTGGTGCACCGTATGAGGATGAAGGTGTAGTTTATATTTATCTTGGATCGCCTGAAGGTCTCTCTAAAAAGCCATCACAGATTATTAAAGCAACAGACTTGGGACTTATTCCAAATAAAGCTATCAATACATTTGGAAGTTATTTAGCTGGTGGATTAGATATTGACAATAATGGATATCCTGATTTAGTTGCTGGTGCTTATAATTCATCAGCTATTGTTGCTCTTTTATCACGTCAAATTATTTTCATTCAAACTGTTGTGCCTTCAAAAACAGACTTAAAACCAATTGATCCATCGGGTAAGGGATGTCCAGCTGATGCACAAAGTACATCGACATGCTTCTCATTCAGAACATGCTGTTCTGTTGATCAATTGTCAGAAGCTGGGAGCCTACAAACTCTCCATATAATGTACAAAATTGAAGCTGAAACTTTCAACAATCTAAAGAAATTTTCACGTGTCTATTTCGGACCTGATCTCGTGAGTCGAAGTAATATCATTGAGAGAAACTTTGACATTAAAACTAATGGTGAACTCTCATGCTTTGATGAAGTCGTTTACATAAAAGACAGTGCACGAGACATTCAATCACCAATTAAATTTCGTCTTAGTTATTCATTAATTGACGAAGAGCTTGCTGATTCAGGATTAACTCGCTTAAATCCAATTCTAGATCAGACACAAGCCGATCGAACATTCGAAGCAACCTTCCAAAAAGACTGCGGTAGCGATGATGTTTGTGAATCGAAACTTAAAGTTGTGGCAGAATTGGATTTGGACAAAGAGAAAAATGGACAGTATGCATTTGTTGTTGGTAAGACTGATGTAATCTTCCTTAATGTAACGGTTGAAAATGAACAAGACTCAGCTTATGAAGCACAACTTTTCGTCGTTCACCAACAGAGTGTCAATTATATTGGAGCTACAAAGGGTCAAATGATTTGCAATCAATTTAATAGCACAGTTGTTGCCTGTACATTAGGTAATCCATTCAAACGTGGAACAAAAGTCGGCACAACACTTCGTTTCGATCCAAGTGGATTGGATGATTCAGAACCAAAAATGACATTCAGAATATTTGCTAATTCAACATCGAAAGCTATTGATCCACAGAAAGATATTGTTCTTGAGTCGAATGTTGTTAAACAAGTCGAGCTTAGCGTTCAAGGGTAAATTTGTTTTCGAATCTTAATTAAAGATTTAAAAAAGTAATAAAAATATTGTTTTTGTCATCACAGATTTGCTCGTCCGTCTCAAGTATTCTATGGCGGTGAAATCAAAGGCGAGAGTGCTATGAAACATTTTGAAGATATTGGAACATCTGTTATTCATACATTCCAGGTAATTATATATTGACTTTTTGGTTTGGCTAGGAACAATGGCTCAGAATTGTGTAACCCCAAATCTGGTGCTGTCCATCAATATTTCGAGCTAAAACATAATTTTGTATTTTTCATCCACAGATCTACAACTCAGGACCCTGGAAGGCTCCGCATGTTGAAGTATTCATCGATTGGCCATACCAAGTAGGCAATGATAAGCCACTCGGTAAATGGCTCCTCTATTTAGAAGATAATCCAATTATCGAAGGTGCTGGAGGTGGTGTTTGTTCCTTAGTAGATTCAAGCAATTCAATAAATCCATTAGGATTGACAAGAAAGCCATTAGACAATGTAGGAATGCTATCAGCACCTCTAATGGACGAGCCAGCTTTATTAAGGAGATCGAACAAGTCTTACAATTTTGCATTAAACCAAAAATCTTCAACTTACGAAGAGAAGCATTCAAGTGAGAGTACGGTGTTAAATCGTGTGAAGAGAGATCGTGCAATGATCATTAGAGCCGATAAATTAGTTGATAGTGATGGAAAGAAGACTAACATTGTAACAATGGTAATAAATTCAATACAAATTGAGAAATATTTTCAATATTAATCAAATGATTTCACGAATAAATATTTACAGGATTGCAGAAAAAGAACTGCCAAATGTGTTAGAATTAAGTGTGAAATTTTTAATATTCAACGAAAAACTGAAGCATTTGTTCATATAAAATCGAGATTATGGAATTCAACATTATCAATGGACTATCCAAGAGTTGATCGAGTGACAATATTTTCACATGCACAAATATCAATACCTGCTACATATGGCATAAGACAAAATGATCTTACAGATGATACAGCATCGATAGAAACACACGCTTATCCTGAATTACATGATCAAGTTCCAAGTGGACCTATACCACTTTGGGTCATCATTGTTGGAATTCTTGTCGGTCTCTTCCTTCTCGCTCTTGTGGCATTTATCCTTTGGAAGTGTGGATTCTTCAAGCGAAGACGTCCTGATCCAACGTTGAGTGGCAACTTAGAGAAGACTGGTGAAGGACGACCATTCTTAAAATAAGTTAAATACGAAATATTTCTTTAAGTTTGTCATTGGATGAACCCAAATTGAAGCTAGTTCAAAGTTGTTTTGTTATGAAACAATTTAAGGTATTTTGTATTTTGTAGGAAATAAAAATTAAGTTACGAAATTTCTGCCAAGGAATTTCTTTTTTCTAAGTCCTTTAGATTAACTATTTAGGCTAATTAATTGAAGCGATGATGAAGAATACTAGGAATTAATTAAATTAAGAATGTTGTGATGATAAATAAAATAAAGTTGTATAAAATTGCCTTTTTTCCTAATAATTGCAACATCCATGAATTTAACATTTTTTTTATAGATAAATCATACAATTTTTGAAGAGTTAAAGAATTCATCATTTGTTAATATTTGCATACATTTATTCCTCTTTAAAAAATTGCCTTATATTTACTTAATAAAGTAGAGAAAAAAAATCTTTTTTGAATATTAAATCTGTTCATTTTACTTTGAAGAACATTCCTTTCAGGCAAGATTTATTATGAAGATCAAGTATTTATGAGTAAAAGAAATTAACGAGTTTAGATCTGACTTCCAAAGTTCTTAGTGAAAGATTCAGAAACGACAAAATTTCTAAACTCAGAACGACGTATTCCAGTTTAAAAACTAAAACAACAATTAGAAGCGAATTAGCAACAATTAGAATTTTGTAAACCTTAAATAATTTTAATTTGAGCTCTCACAAAATCTCAAAACTTTGCAGACCTTCCTCTTAAAGCATTATGTGAATGACTTGGGAAGATTCAGAAACAACAAAATTTCTAATTTCAGAACGACGAATTCCAGTTTAAAAACTATAACAACAATTAGAAGCGAATTAGCAACAATTAGAATTTTGTAAACTTATAATAATTTTAATTTGAGCTGTCACAAAGTCTCAGAACTTTGAAGACCTTCCTCTTAAAGCGTTATGTGTTAAATTTGACTTCAAAATTATCCCTAGGGGCCGTTCACTTATGACGTCCGGGGGGGGGGGGGGGTCAGAAGGAAAAGAACAATAAAAATTCCTGAAAATTTTCTTATTCGATTCCATCCTAAAACTACAATTTTCAAACCACAGATCTCAAAATACTCTAACGTGCACGAATAATTCAAAATCTCTCCAAAAATCACTCTCCACACATAGTTTTCTTTCTCTACACATTCCAAAAATATTATGGACTAAAATATGAAGATTAATTAAGATTAAATCAGCAATAAAGCGTTTAAAAGTGCTTCAAATGAGATGAATGGCAACGAGGAGCCAGTGGAAATTGAGGTTGAACCTGAAATTCATGATATTTTGCCGTAAGTGACATTTGTTATGATTCTGGTGAAAATTTGTTTTGGAATTTCTTTTTAGCGCATTTTTGAAACTTATTTCGAAAAGGTAGCTTAATAATACGCTTTGTTCGTTTGCTCGGCTGCTTGCAAAAACTTGATCTAGACATCGTAGAGAGTTCTGGTTTTTTGCAATAGCTGTGTTCTATCGAATTATTCCGGCGACGAGAAGTAAAAAATCACAAAACCATCGGGAAATACTATAATTAATGATTTTTTGATTTCAATGCAATGCAGCCAACTTCAAGTGGGATAATTTTAAATATATTTTGAACGTTAGAAAGTTTGAATTTAATAAAACCGTTAAATGACAAATGATCTGTAAATGAACTCAAAATAATTAGATAATCAAATACTGATCGCTAACACAAAAATGCGCTGAAATCAATCGATATATAACACGAGGACTTTCGCCAATTTTTTTTTTTTTTATTTCAACTTATAAACATTTGGTTTTGTTTAGATTTGACGATTTTTGCATTGATCAATACAGTAGCTTTGATGATGACAATGATGGAAGTAGTACTGGTCGATTGCACAATGAACAGCCAAAAAATCGTGGAAATATTCAGGTGAAAAGTTATCAGCAACTATCTTCCAAAGAATTTATTTACAAATGCACAGTATGTAGAGAAACACTGGGAAGTGGAAAGGAACTTTTGAGGCATGTGAGGACACATACAAGACATTTAGGTGAAAATAAGAACTATATTGACAGGGTAGGGAACGAAATTCCATTCAAATTTTTACAGTGACTCACTAAATTTGCGTATTATTATTTCTATAGAAATTTTCAACATGTAAATGTTGCATTTGTTCGCGCCCGTTTGGCGATCAACGTTCATTACGAAACCACGAAGAGACTCAGCATACAGCACCATTTAGATGTCGACTTTGCAATTCATTTTTTAATATTTTAAAATTTTACAAAAATCATCTAAAACAACATGCGCAGCAACAACAAAAACAAATAAACTCACGTGTACCTGACAAGCACCAACAGAAAATGTCACTTCACAACAATAAGCAATCAAAGGAATCGAGTTCTAAACATTTTTATACATCTTCACCGAGGGCAACTATGGCAATGGCAGTACAAAATTTATCCGATGAGGGCCTTCTATCACACCTTTATGACAGTACGCTAAAACCGTTAAAATGCAAGTACTGCGACAAATCTTTTGGTAAATTTTCGATGCTACGTAAACACGAAATGCTCCATAAAATGAATAATTTTGGTAAGCTTGCACTCGAAAGTGAATATATACCGTTAACCGACACCCCACCATTGACGGTGGCGATTCCATCATCGACTTTATCAAATTATAATGTTAAGAAATCACAACCATCATCAAATTCATCATCATCTGCGTTGACATTAACACCATCGTTGTTATCCAATTTAAATAAATTAGCTCATCTTAAGTCAACGGAAAATTTGGACGGTAAGAAACCTGCAATTTTGATAAACATCAACACAAATGATTCATCGTCAACGCCGAAAGTGGATACCGCCAAAAAATCTCAGGAAATGCCTTTAAATTCAAATTCAGGTTTGATGATCAGTTCTGTTGCGAGTGTTGATAAAAATTATTTTGAAACGATGGAAAAGTTAAGGAGAAACAGCATTTTGAATAGCAATAATAATAATAATAATATTAACAATGTTAACAATAACAGCAATCTTCCAAGTAATGCAACCGTTCTTATACAGAATGGCAAAAAAGCTGTCTCACTGGCCGACTTGCAATGTCCAATATGTAAGAAAATTGTATCACAACCATTCAGCCTTAAAGTGCATTTACGAACACACACATTGGAAAAGTAAGTTGAATTTTACATTTTTTATTTGCATGTCGCATAAGCAATTAAGTGGCTCAATTGTGAAATTAAAATGTTTTCAGACCGTACTCATGTCCCGTATGTCAAAAAAGTTTTAGCCAAAGTTGTAACTTAAAAACCCACATGAATATACATACAAAGCAGCAATCAAATCAACAAATTAACTCACAACCATACATGTGCAATATCTGTAAAAGGACGTTCTTAAAAGCATCGTCGCTAAATACCCATATGATAACTCATACAGCAAAATTATATTGCTACGCTTGCAATATAAACTTTGATGATGACGCGATTACATATTCACAGCATATGCAAATAACGCATAATGTTACGATGACAAAGGATTTAATTAGTAGAGCTAAAGCTAATCTTCAAAAAAGTGAAAGTCAACAACTTCAGCAGCAGCAAATGAATGAAATGAGAAAAGTAAATGACGAAATGCAAAAACAATATCAAGAAATGGAAGAGAATCAATCACAGCCATCACATCAACAAAAGATAATGGAAGTGTTTAAAGTTCAATCGTCGACAGTGTCAAATGGTCAAATACCTAAACTAAAAATAACTATTAAGAAAGAGCCTATCCATGAAGGCTCACAAGAAAAAGATGGCAACGAAAGTGATTCTAGCTCGTCATCATCAAACAGCTCGGATTCAACAAGCAGTAGTTCTTCAAGCAGCTCAAGCTCTTCCGCAACATCAAACTCCAATAATGAAAAGATCGACAATAATTAGAAAAAAATGTTGAAGGACGAAAAAGACAATACTCGAGTTAATATCATCCAAATATCTCCCCCAAAAATAAGAATAATAATAATGCAACTAATTATCAATATTAACAATTACATCAGTATACGGACAAAAACACTTACTTTACAAATCAAATCAACTCACTCTGATCCAATTTATCCATCCACTGATTTATTTTACACTTTCTGTATAGGAATATCACATTATAATAGTAGCTAAATCGGTTGTAGGTGATTTTTTGGAAAGCTAGTGAATAGAGCTGTTTGATAGGGAGTTGTCTAGGAGCTTTAGTAAAATTAAATTTAGAAACCTAGCAAGCAGCTCTATTTGTATGATTTTAAAGGTTTCAATCATTTGTGAATCTTTAAATTTTGAAAGTTATTCCAAAAAGCATCTTCAAATCCGATCTGATCAAACTTGAATAAGTTATTGTTTCTTTTTTGGTTGAATCTCTATCTCTCTATGTCGTCTTACGTCAAAAGAAAAATTTAGGAGAATCATGTATTACTACAGTACTTATTAGATTTCATTGACTGTTGTAAACTCAGGAATTAGATTTTTGTTTATTTTTTATTAATTATTAAGAAAAAATTCTTTTATTTCGGTTGAGGTTTAATGTTTAATAATGATATGAAAAAATTGAAGAAATTAGGCAATATAGTAAGTATGTAAACCTAACTCTAGCATTTTAACAAATGAAATTTTCTAGACAAAAATGTTTTCTATAATTTTTTTTTTGTATCTTTTGTATTGTCTAAGAATTTTTTGAAATTATGTTACGTATATGGAAGAACTTTAGAGTTCTTTTCTGATTTTATAAAAGAGGAATTGAGGAATTGTGAATGAACTTAAAATTTAATTTGTTCTGGAAAAGTCATCAAAAGCCAGACATTTTTCAACGAGATCAAAAAAAAAAATCAATGAATTTTTTTATAAAATAGGTCAAAATTCAACTCAGACATTTGTATGATTTTCATCCGTTTGAGTGAGGAAAATGAAAAAAAAAAATGAAAATCGAGTGGTTTTTGTGGTGAAACTTTGGTTATGGATTTTCTTAATTGAATGGGACTGAAATTTAATTTTGGGTCATTGAATCGGAAAATTGGTGTCTGCATGTCAGTCAGTCTCAAATTATTTTGGGTTTCTTTGAGGATAAAATTGGCATTTTTAAACATATCATGAATGATATATGAAGTATTTCGTTTGTTGAGTAGAAAACTAGAATTGAATCTTCAAATTCTGTTAAGAATACCCAAGAGTTATTAAAATCAAATTATTGATATTAACATTAACTGAACCATAGTATTGAGAATATATTATTTAAGGCTTAACATTTAGCATACCTAAAACTAGAATCATAGTGAACCTCCACAAACCTATAAATTTAAACCTCTGCTGACTTAATATCATTGAATTAAAGGTTGAATCTGATCAAAATGAATCATTAAACGACAAAAATGTCAAATTTATCCTAAACTTCGTACAAACCCACATCCATAACTCAAAATCATACAAAAATAAATGTTGACTAAGCACCTGTTCAAATATTAAATTATAAAATTAATAGTAATCATGCCAAATTTTTTAAAAATCAATTCTATAAGACTTAATCGTAAACAACTTAACGAATTGTGTCATAGCAGCTTTATTTAGTCATCTATTCTAATAGAAATGTAGTTTTTGTGTTCACTTATAAAAATTAGAATGTCTTAAGTTAAAGCATCCAAAAAAACGAGATCTTGAAATGAAAAATGTGTTAAGTGTATTCATGGCAATTCCTCAATCTTCAGTTACTTGTTGTATAACACACATTTTCTATAAATAATAATTATATTATTATCTAATAATGTATAAAGAACAAATAATGCAATAATTTTAATTTATCGAATAATAGTAAAGGAACTTATCGATACGATATCAAAGCAGTTCATTTTTTTGTTATATTGAAATTAATATAATCTTGTTACTCATCTTATCACAATGAATAAAAAGTAAACAATAATAAACCAAGGTAAAAATTATTACGAAATAAAATATTGTGCATTTTTCATTAAACTTAATCTTAGCTGTTTAGGATGATCTTGAATTTATTGAAACAATAAAGTCAAATATTAAAACTTTCGAGTAAAGCATCGATTGATGTGGTGTCAGAGCCAAGTAGAATCTGAGATATTGATTCATATGTAGCTGAATCTGCCAATGGGAAAATAAGGTCTCAGTGGCGCAAGTTGTTTGGCAACAGATCAGAAAGCTGTAACCCTCTTTTGTATGGACGTGTGTTCGATTCCCACTATAGACCGGTCTCTCAATCATTGAATCGAGTATTGTAGATATAACAAGGATTCGCACAATGAGCAACGTATTATAGATACAACGTATATATTAGTTCGACTGAATAAGCTTAGTGGAATGTGAAATGCAAATTAAAAATTCTTCAATAAATGCAAACCGTTTTGTGAAACTTGAACGATTAAAATAACTTTAATCAAGTTTTGTTGATGAAGCTTGAACCATTTTAGTAGTATTTAACAGAATTATATCCTGGTTCGTTTATTAAATTTTTTGCACCTTTTAAGGTGTTGGAAGGAGTTACTAAAGCTGATTGAATAAACTCTGAATAAACTAGTGTATCGGGTAGAAACCCAATGCGGATATATTCACACCGTACCATCAAAAGTCTTATGGATAGACCAAGATTTGCTCAGCATAAGTTTGAAGGGTGGGCGTTAAGTACGACGGAGACCCATATCGACACAGTTCAAAAGTTATACCTAATTTATGTTATAATTATGTCAGCTCCAAAAACACTTAGTATGAAGTTCGGGAACACTATGAACCAGTATAGCTGATTTTGGTCCAAATCTCGGCCATACTTCACACTTATTTGAACCACATTTTCTCGTAAATGTTAAAATATTATTAAAAAGTAATTAATCCTGAATTATGTCGCTATATTGTCAAGTGTTTTAAGATAAAGAATTTGTTTTTTGGTTTCCACAGTGAAGAGTATGAACAAAATTCAGATGGTGTTGTCGAAATTTTAGATTTCGATTTTTTTTAAGCTATGCATTACAAAAAGTAATATTGGGATGTGATTTATGTTAGAATTCTGTCAATTCAAATGAAACATCCAAAAAATTTTTTTGACCAAAGTACACCATAGAAAATCAATTTTCAATTTTGGACTAGGGGCGACCCTAGTCAAAATCAATTTTGTCACTTTTTTCTTTGAGGGTTTATCCAAATGGATTGAAACTTTGCATAAATATTCTAGTGCTTAAAACAAACACAAATAAAACATCCTAAAATTTTTTTGAGCAAAACCAAGTAGGAAATACATTTTCAATTATGAACTTGGGACAGGTCTAGTCAAAATCTACTTTTTCCCTTTTTTTTCTTCGAGGATAAATCCAAATACAGTTAAACTTTGTATGAGCATTCTAATCCTCAGGTCACACATTTCTGAATTAATAAAAATCATTTTTTGGACAAAATTTTAAGTCACGTTGTTTTTATATGTAGAACCAAATTTATAAAATTTGGGTCTGACGACATATAGAATACATTTCTTCCTTTAGATATTTAAAACTGTTTTATATAAATATTAGTATACTTACTCAAAGCTTCACTGTAATTGGATAAACCTTCGAAGAATAAAAGTGAAAAACTAGATTTTGATTAGACCTGTCCCAAGTTTATAATAGAAAATGTATTTCCTACTTGGTTCTTTGCTCAAAAAATTTTAGGATGTTTCATTTGTATTTATTTTAAGCATTAAAATATTTATGCAAAGTTTAAATCCATTTAGAAAAACCCTCGAAGAAAAAAGTGACAAAATTGATTTTGACTAGGGTCGCCCCTAGTCCAAAATTGAAAATGTATTTCCTACTTGGTTCTTTGCTCACAAAAATTTTAGGATGTTGAATTTGTATTTGTTTTAAGCACTAGAATATTTATGCAAAGTTTCAATCCATTTAGAAAAACCCTCGAAGAAAAAAGTGACAAAATTGATTTTGACTAGGGTCGCCCCTAGTCCAAAATTGAAAATGTATTTCCTACTTGGTTCTTTGCTAAAAAAAAATTTAGGATGTTTTATTTGTATTTGTTTTAAGCACTAGAATATTTATGCAAAGTTTCAATCCATTTGGATAATAGAATAGAATGTAATGTAGGGTTTTGCTTAGAGCAAAAACGGCACTGCGATCGATGATTTGTTGTACCATCCCAAGCCATCTATGATAAAATTCCTATGTCCTCGATGAAGCCAATAATTTTCTGATAGTGCTGCTTACTAGTATCCTCATCATTTATGTAATCCTTATCAAAGTGCTTGACACGTTGTACTCGCAATGCTCTGCATTTACAAAGAATATGAATGATTGTTTCCTCATTTACCTTACAAAACCTGCAAATTTTACTGTTAGACAAATTCAATTTAAAAAGAAAACTATTGATACTCATGTGTCCTGTCAAAGCACCAATTAAGATGCTAAGATCTTTCCTTGGTAGTCTCACAAAATCCAAAAAACTGATTTTTCAATCTGAACAAAAACAAAACATTTACACTTGAATATAATATACTTTTTGTGGGAAGTAAGTTGAAAATCTCATATTTAGATGAACTTTCAGTAAATGGTCCTACAAATTTGGTTAAATATTTTAAAAATTTGAATATGATTAGGGAAGGGTCAAGGCTCGAAGTCGACACAGTTGAATTCCATTACAGGGGGTCCTCGATTTGAGTAAGTGTTTTGTTCCAGAAAAATCTTGTTCAAATCGAACCTACTCAAATCGAGGATCCATAGTATAGTAAATCAGCTTTATTCGACTCGACTTTGAACTCTATTTTTTATTGAAAGATTTCAAAACAATTACGAAATCAAAATTCCATGAAAACTCCACGTGCCTGCAATAAAAAATAAAATTTAATGAAATCCAGCAAATTCAATGGTACTCAATAAAAAAAACACGGAAAAGTTTCTTTATATATTTTTTCAATTCATTTTGTTGCTTTATTTTACATGTTTTTTATTTTCATTAATTTTAAATTTCAGAGCAAAAACTGTTAATTTTTACTTTATTTTAAAAATTTCAAATAATACGACTTAAATTTACTTAATTAACGATTATTGTTTAATCATAGTTGATTTATTATTAGGTAGATATTATGATATTTTTTTGTGAAAATATTTCTGTGAGAATGAATGAATCTCAAAATGTGAGGGAGTTGAGATTTTAAAGCGCATTTTGAAGTGCAATTTTAAGGTTATGACTTATTTTTGGGCTGGATTGGATTTGTTTTAGTTTTTTACAATAGTTTTTGACAGGTTTTACTCTTGTCTAGTTAACCCTTACAGAAGCATTGGATTCTATGCCAAAAAATAAAATAGCCAGGCTGAAAATTCACAACCCAAGCTAGGTTTAGATCATTATCAACAATAGTACATGCTTTAAGTTTAATTTTTATCATCAATGACAATTCAATCCGATTTAAAGCAAATTAAAACTTCCAAGAAAATGCGCCTTAGCCTTAGTCATCTCGCTAGATGACATGATATCATGTTTAAATTTCTGAATTTATGATCATTAATGAGCTTAAATACTCAACTATTATGTAGTTATTTGAAAATTCTCTCCACTTACATTACTAAGCCATTCATGTATCGAGCTTGATCGTTTCTCATTATGATGATCAATTAACTCAAGATCGTCACATGGATTCTGTATATTATTTACATCATTTGTATGAAATGTACTAGACTGAATAATTCTTGTCGACGATGTCCGTTGACTAATTTGAATGTCTCCATTTGGAAGATATTGTGTAGTTACATATTTAAGATTTGATAATTCTTTATAAGGTGGAATTCTTGTTGAGGAGTAACTCGTTGTATTATTAATCGATGATGATGATGTTGAGGGTATTGGTACAGATAAGAATTGTCCATTAAGTTTCATCATTGCATCACTCACATCTGTTTCATTTATGTCACCTAACTCTATTGACTCACTATCTGAGTCCGAGATCAAATCAACACAGTTCGAATGCTCCCTTTTCTCTTTGATTTTTATCAGTCTATCTTTGTATGATTTTATGTCCTCATTTGTTAATTTCTTTGTGGGAATTGTGAATGGCTTGCAGTCTTCTATTAGCCATCGATTAAGAAATTCGAAATTTTTCTCTCTAGATGACGATGCTAATTGTTTTCTTGGCCAATGATAAGGACGTGTTTTTCTCATTTGCCTCATTAATGTCTTCTCTGTATTATTTTGTGGAAACTTAATCTTCGTTCTAGTCACTTTTGTTGTGGATTTTGCAGTACAAAAGTCTTCATTTCTATTCAATCTTTGTAAGTTATAATCCTCATCGATTAGAGGCTTTTTCGTAAGAACAATACCGGCGGGTGATGAAAAAGGAATTGAATACTCTTTTTCTCGATCCTTTTGACATACCCGTGTCCTCGGCACAGCCTTCTTTTTCTTCTTTGGCGATAAACTTCGCTCTAATAAACTGTTTCTACGAGGTAATTCATCAGCATTCATACCGATAAGACTAAAATATCCTAAAAAGTCATTTTGTTCACCCATCATCTCAATCTCAATTTTGTCGTCCTCTACATCTTCTTCTTCATCGTCACTTATCACAATATTTTCAATAGTTTGTTCTGTCTCTGGCGCCTGATTGCATTTCTTTTCGTGTTCCTTGAGTTTTGAAAAGAAAAATGATTTATTGAATTAGATTGGTTTTTAAAGGTGCACTACTGATGTCTACTTAGGATTATATATAGACTTGGTTTTTATCAATTATCGAAGATTTAATGTCCTTTTCATAATTATGATTAACTGTCTATAATTGGGAATTCAACTCTTAGTGACAATTTAACAATAAACATTTTAAATAACCTGTAGAACTGTTTTTAGGGATATCTGTGAGTTTGTGGCCCTAGAACTTGCTACTACTGTGCATAGAGGATTAGGGTTTATCGTGAACTTTATTTTGGGTTTTAAAAATAAACATAATTTAAGTTTGAACTTGAACATTTGATGACAAAAGCAATTTCTTTCTTATCTTGAAGTTCAAGATAAGATACCCATCCTACGTAATGAAATTAAGGTCATTTTTTAAAGATGTTAAATAATTGCTGACATCAATAAAAGTCCCAATTAAGAGTTCAAATCCCTTCCATATTTTAAGAATCCAGAGTCCCAAACCCTCAAACTTCATCCCATTAAAAGTCAAACGAGTAAAATAACAACTAGGTACAAACTTACTGTATATGCTTCTTCTGATACAAAGGTTGCATCACAAAAATCGCACAGGAAAATATCAAATGTTGAATCTGCCTCTTCTGTCTCGTTAACGGCCTCATCCTTCTTCCACAGTTGCCGTCTCCTTTTTCTATCGTATTGCTGTGGAAAATAATTTTTGAAAAATTATTTGAAGTTCTGTAGAGTTCTTCTTAACTACAAATCATATTCAACTTACCATTAATTCATTCCGAAAAGTTAAAAGTAACTTTTTAGGATCCCTACTCCAAAGAGCTGTGGTTGTGTCACTATCTCTAACATATCGAAAATTTGCTGTATCATAAACGCTTAAATCCTTTGAATACTTGAGTAGAAATGGTTGCTTATGATAATCGTAGCACTTTAATACCAAATTTTTCATCGCCTCCTTCCAATTCTGAAATTTGGTCATTAAAAATTATTTCAAGCCTTGGAAAGTTAAATGCAAAGCTCAAAGTCTCGGTTTTGAATCGAGTCGAGTCAACTCGAGTGGACTCAAACCCTATCGACATCGAGCTTTGGTTAAATGCAAATCTTTACCTTATTATAATCTTTTGGCTTTTCAAACGGCATTGAAAATTCTAAATTTGTTGGCCACCATTTTGGTGCTATTTTTGGTTCCTCTTCAGTTTTCAGGTTAAGTGAACATTTGATTAAAAATGGAATAAACAACTCGAGTTGCTCTTGTGTCATTTTCTCTAGTGAGGTTGGATAGCCATTTGCAAATAAAATTGGAAGATAACTAATTGTACTAGATCCTAAATCTTGTTGCATATTTGAACCACCATTATTGCGATTATTGTTCGGATCTGCCATTTTTTGTGTATTTGTATTTATCTCGCGATATTAATCTGTAGAAGAAATGAAATAATTGTTTATGATTGAAGACATGTATTAGTTTTCAAAAACAATTTGCTTTCGTCATTACAAACAAAATTTTAAAGATAAGGCTTGAGTTAAAAAAAAATTTCAATGCTAGAACTAGTCCGAATGAATACGGAAATATGTGACCTCACGACTCGTTTGTTGGAAATGAACAGTTTTTAATTTATTCTTTAGTTATTTTCAAAGAGTTTTAAAGTTTTATTATATTTGTGGTTTGAAATTGTATCAAAATGAATTAAGGAATTATTAAGATTAAGAAATGCTTGTTATTAAATTCATTAGGACAAAACTTTAAGTCAACTTTTTAGAAAATTTTGAAAATTTGCTTATAAAGCTGTTCAAAGCTAGGTTATCTTCTATTTTATAGGTGGACTCAAACAGCATGAAGTGCAGTGTTACCAAATTTTTAAGAAGAGAAAAAACTGAACAACTGCATTTGTTTTTTGAGTGAAAAATGGAGAAAACATCTAGGACTGTCCTCTAAAAACCTAAAACGAAGGACTGTTGATGGACCCTAGTAAAAGGTTTTTTGAAAAATTGTCAAAAAACAAAGCACAAGTCAGTTAATCGAAAAGAAATCCGACACTAAGCCAGCGTGATTCTGGCATGATACTGCATTTAAATCGAATCCAGCATCATTTCAAAGTAATACTGGCTTGGTCCCAAATTTCTATTCGATTAACTGACCTGTGCTATTCGAGATCGATCTAGAGTGCAGAACTGATAAATTATATTTTTATCAATTTTCATCAATTTTGATCATTTCATCAGCTCCGCACCCCTGGGATCAATCAAAAATATTTGTAACTGTACACTTTCCTGATCTGCTTGACAACAATCACAGGAATCAGCATAAAGTGAGTGGACACACAATTAGAAATTTTTGTATTTTCTAAATTTCGCCCTTATTTTTCATGAAACCTAATAAAGTTATATATTTTTGGAAAGCTTATCAAATTTCCAATATAATGATTAGAATTTTTTTTGAAAATTTGCAAGTAATATAGTCATTTTGGGTATGAAACGCATTTCATATGTGCAAGTTTTTTATGTTTTTCATTTTTCTCAGCAACGACTTTATAAAAAGTTTTTAAATTTTGCACACTTTTTGCTTGTATAAACGTTAATAACTTGTACAAGTTTCAGAATTTTCCATTGAGTTTTCCACGAGTTTTCCTAACCTGAATTTTTCACTATTAAAATTCATTTTTCTGCGCATTGCTATTAGTTGTTGTTCATCTTGGTTTCTTTCATTTTTTAATAGCTTTCCATTGATATATAACAATCTAGAAAAAAGTATGAGACAAGAGAGAAATCAATAAAAATGTCTGAAAAATTTCCAATATTCTCCGTCATCTTGAATTTATTTTGCTTTTTCTGGTTAAACTAATTGAATTTCATAAAAGTGTTATGCATTTATAAAAAGGTCTAGCTAAGTCCTTTCATTCACTAGAAACCGCATGAGACTACGATAAGCACAAGTAAAATTATAGGAGCTTGAAGTTGGTAACATAAAAAAATTTCAAATTTTCAAAAAAAAAATTTCGAAAATATTAATTTACTGTCTTTTGTTATTATTAGATCCATAAAAATGGTAAATTTTGTTGTTTTATAACATATTCCAACCAAAAAACATTATCTTATAGCTTAAATATCAAAGAAACAAAAAAATATTTTCTTTTCATTGAGCTGTTTTTTTCTTACCAACTTCAACCTCCTATAATTTTACTTGTGCTTATCGTAGTCTCATGCAGTTTCTAGTGAATGAAAGGACTAAGCTAGACCTTTTTATAAATGCACTTTTATGAAGTTCAATTAGTTTAACCAGAAAAAGCAAAATAAATTCAAGAAGACGGAGAATATTGGAAATTTTTCAGACATTTTTATTGATTTCTCTCTTGTCTCATACTTTTTCCTAGATTGTTATATATCAATGGAAAGCTATTAAAAAATGAAAGAAACCAAGATGAACAACAACTAATAGCAATGCGCAGTTTTCGAGAAAAATGAATTTTAATAGTGAAAAATTCAGGTTAGGAAAACTCGTGAAAAACTCCTTGGAAAATTCTGAAACTTGTACGAGTTATTAACATTTATATAAGCAATGAGTGTGCAAAATTTGAAAGCTTTTCATAGAGTCGTTGCTTATAAAAATGAAAAACATTCAAAACTTGCATTTATAAAATGCGTTTTTTACATAATGTGACTATATTACTTGCAAATTTTCCAAAACTTTTCTAGTCATTATATTGATAAGCTTTTCAAAAATATATAACTTTAATAGGTTTTATCAGGTTTTATGAAAAAATAAGGGAGAAATTTGGAAAATATAAAAATTTCTAATTGTGTGTCCACTCACTTTAGTGTTTTAAAAAGTCTAAACTTTTAAATAAAATTTCTACTTGATTTTTACCGAATTTTATTCAAAATTTTGCTCCAAGCTAGTCTGACTGAACAAAATCTATATAAGAACAGTACGAAAATGAACAAAACAAAATCAATACAAACATCAAACCTTTTTCGTCACACAGTGTGCATACAAAAACCTCAAAACTCAAACACAGGGGCGGTTCAAGGATTTTTATTGTTTTTTTTTTTTGATGCTTGAAAGCTATTTAAACCATAAATACCTGATTTAAGAACTTATCATAAATTTGATAGCGAAATCGCTATCTCAACTAAGTTCAGACGGTTTAAAATCAATTCTTTTAAATTCAACTTTTGTTTTATCAAAAGAACATTCAAAAGTCGATTTAAAGTTAAAACGATCAAAAATAGTCAGCTTCAAGTTAAAATGATTTCAGTCGACTTCATGTTAAAAAAACTAAGTTTTTTTGGATTCTTTTAAGTCTCAAAATACATTCTGAAGACACAACACAAAAAGTGATCATTAAAAACGGAATTCTAAGAAGGGGTCATTGTACAAGAGGGAAGAATTTAATTCTTAACGTCTGTTGAAAAAATGATTTGAAATTAGTGTCATTTCCAGTCAAGCATGACGTTGAAATTTTAATAGGACTCAAAATCATTTTTTTGAATTTTTGAAACTTTTCAAAAAAAGATTTTGATAACAAATAAATTGGAAATGAATTTAGACAAAAACTCCTAAAATATGCAGAGTTATAAAAATTCTCAATTTAATCCGTTAAATCTCACTTTTCTCGTTAAAAACCAAGCTCAAATCCACTCCAAATTGACCATTTTCGAATTAATTTCTTTTCATTTTTGTGAGATTCGTCAAGAGTAGCTTTATGAGTTCGTACAATAAATCAAACTCTCTGTAAAAATCTGTGTCACAACTTGAATTAAAAATTAAAGCGCATATATCGAAATTTTTCCAAAAAAATTCTTACACATTCTGAGAATTTTGGAGCATAAAAAAGTCAATTGTATTGAATCAAAATTTTATATTCATCGATTCAATATGTTTCCTACAATAAAAGCGCGAACACATAGACGAAGATTATTTGCTTATTTCTCTTTTCATTTGATACGAATCTGTGCTTGGTTCCGAACTCAGGACTTCGATTTTGAAATTTTTAAAATTCATCGAATTTTCTCAGATTTTTGTCAACAAATGTGTTCAGGCATTAATTATACACATTAATTTATCAGATATTCATTAAGTTCACCACGAAAGTCACTTGAATTAATTGAAATGCTGAAAAATTCAGCTTTTTACCTTTCAAGATTTATTAACACTTCATTTTTTCTTTAAATTAAAAATTATTATCTACACAAACAGTTCCAGTCTAATCCTATATTATTTATTAAATTTTATGAACACTCAAAACTCTTGAAAAAGTTCTTTATTTCACAAAATTTTAATTTTTTTAAGAAAGTCTATTTAATATTCTTTTTTTGCAGACTTTCAGGGCATTACTGGTTGATGGGCTGTTTTAAAAGTTTCACGAACGTTTTGTATTATTGAGAATCTCTCGAAACTTCTCACAATCAGATGTCGCTGTCATCATTGTCTTTATAAACATTTGTATTTCCAATGTTTAGATCAGACTTAATTTCAAAATTAAGCAATAAAGATGATGAAAATTACTGCTTTAAATGATTTTACGAAGGATGAGGATGATTTTCAAGAGGAAAATGTTCAAGTTTCTAAGGAAGCACAGGTATTTTTCCTTAAATTTGATTTTTCGCAAATTTTGTGTCTAAACATTTATTTACTCTGAAATATCTAGGAAACTATAGCGGCAAGTGAATATTTAAGAGCTTTATCGCTAAAACAAAGTGGTAAAAGTGATTTTGCCTTAGGTCTATTTGAGGATTTATTAAGAACAAATGTAATTTATGATGTAAGTAAATTTGCATATCCAAAAGTTGAATAACCTTTTTGAGACACGACAATTCTCTTTCAATAGGTTCCAAATGATGATAAAGACAACAAATTATTTTCTGTCAAATACAATTGCTACAGGAATATAGGATTAATTTATGAAGAGAAAAAGGAATATGAATTGGCGCTAAAATTCCTCGTAGATGCTATAAACTTAGACGATAGTGATGTTTACACACAATTGAAAGTCGGCAAAATTGCCTTGAAACTTGATAAGTTGATGACCGCTAAAAGGTCATTTGAGAAATGTCTGGAAAGGAATCCAAATCATTGTAGTGCTAAAGATGGATATTTAGAGACTTTATGTCAAATGGAATTGATTGAAGCTGCTTATGGATTTGCTTTTAAGTGTTATGCTGAAGATCGGAAATATGAGCGCGCAATTCGAGTGCTTAAAGAAATTCGTGAAAGATTTAAATTCAGTCAGGAGTATTATGATGGGTAAATTACTTAGCTCTTGATTTGGAAAAGGTTTAACAAGGGTGTGGCCTATTTTGAATTGCTTTTACTTAGGGTCACCATCTAATTTTCATGAAAATACAGGACATTTGGTAAATCAATAGCGGACTCAATCATCCTATAATTATAAATAACTTGCATGCAAGTTTTTCCTTCATAATATTTTTTATACTCTCAAGAACATGATCAGAAGAGTTTATAAAAAGCATGATCATTGACATCCTCATGAGTTTATGCTCAAATTTTTCTTGCTATATACTTCACAAGAGAAAGCAGAAATCACTTTTATAAGTTATTATTTTGGATTTTGTATAGTTTAAATGTGTCTTTTCGCCATTTGAAAGTTATTTAAATTCAGAAGGCATTAGACAAGATGAACAGTTATCAGGACATATTACAACACAGCGTACTCGGGTTCGAATCACGGCAATCACCAAAAAAGAAGAAAAATATCAATTTCTCAAAAACATGATCAAGAGCATAATCACAAGATCATAAAATTTTTCAAATAGTAAAATTAAAGCATGATCAGCAGAACATGTTCTTGATCATGATCTCAAGTTTAACTTGCATGAATAATTTGCAAGTAAAAAAGCGTACTCTTGAGAGCGTGATTTCTTTGGTACCCTGCTGCGATCTTTATTTGTATGGGAGAGTACGCTAATTATCGTCATCAAATTAAAAAATTGATTTTTAAAAATCATGCTCAGATCGTGCTCTTTGTCTGTGCGTATACGCAGATGGTCACCCTACTTTAAATGGAATTTTTTAAAAATCTTAAATTTTTTATTTTATAAAAAGGTTTGAGTGATACATCAAATTTTCTAGTTAAAACAAACTTACTTTAAACTTCTAACAAAATCTCACTTAACTGCTGATAAGAAAGAATTAATTAGTACTGATTCGAATTCTTAATCAAAGAAACTGAATTAATTAGGAAGTGAAAATATTATCTTATATAAATAGCATTTTGTTGACCTTGATCTTCTCTGCACCAAAGATTAAATTTGTTTCCTGCACTATTTTTTCTTTAATATTATTTCATAAATCTCTTCCATTTTTATTTCAGTATTTATGGATATGCACCTAAATTTGATGCAGATTGCAAAATTGTTTACGATCCCGAAAAGAGTATATTCCCTACCAATAGAGTACCTAAATTTCCAGTGGACACATACACCGTTGTTCCAGATGATATGAAGATTCAGGAAGAAGAAATCAGTTGGGTCACGTTTGGAAAACTAATTCATAAAGTTTTTGAATATACAATTGAGAATAAGCATGTAAGTTTATTGATTAAAATTAAAATGATTCTTATTCAAAATTATTTACTTATGAAATTAATTCTTTTGATACATTTAGAGCCTTCTAACGATGTACAAATGGCATGATTGGGTTTGTAAAACAAAAGAAGAAGAGCCAGAAATTCCAAAGCCAACCGAAGAGAGTGAAACAACTGTAAAATCACCAAACGAAGGAGAACAAAATGAAGAAATAATGAAAGAACCTGACATACAGTCAGATGGCAATGATATGAAAAGTCCAGAAGGTGACAGTGAAAATCCCGATCAGGAGTCAAAGAAGTCCAGTAATCGTCGTAGATGTAGTGATTTAGATTTTTTAAAGGAATGGGGATGGCATAAAAACAGAAGATCTACACGAAAGAAGCAGAAGGAAGAGGAAGATACTGTAGACACAAGCATCAATGGATTAATCCGAAGAATCCTTCCAAACTACTTTACTCAGACATTTGATACAAAAAATTCACCATTCATACCGGAAGTAGTTACTGATGATAAGACAGATGGAAATGACACTTTAGACACAAGTAAGACTGATGCAGAAGATGAAGAAAAATTCAATGAATTATCAAAAGAATCATTTCATAAATTCATTGCAACATTTAAGGATCGCGAATTTGATTTATTAGTTCCGTTATTTGAATGGCTTCGATACATTTCATTATATTGGAATCAAACAATCATTCCAGCAGAGATTATATCAATTTATAAGAAAATCTATGCAATTTACGAAGATTGCATCGACTATCATAATATGCATCACATGTCTGATGATGAATTTACTGCCACTTTTCGTGCTGCAATGTTTTATTTCGAATTACTTTTTGATGAATATGAAGAAACAAAGGCTGAGATTCCCGACGATTACGTAAGGTTGAAAGATTTTCTTCAAGTTAATATTGCATTTATTGATGATGATATGGATTGCACACGTATGCTGGTTCGATTACTTCGACTGAGTTATGGAATCCATCTCCATTATAATAACTATAAAGACTCACTGGGATTCTTATATAAAATTGAGGAGATATTTGATGTTCCAAAATACCAGGACATAGCATTTGACTTTAAAAATTGCAAGCACCATAAGACAATTGACTTTAAGACTGTTAAAGATCTCGTCATAAAAATTGAGAGAAAAATTAATTTGGCAAGTGTCAAAAAGTTGTACGACACTCAAAATTATGAAGAATTGGTAGAAATCTTACTGGAGAGCATCACGTACAGTACAGGACCAAAAGTAAATATCGACAGTCTGACCTTGAAAATTCAAACACAAATTGAGGTGCTACTTGAGTGTTTATTCAGTTTGAATAGAATTGAAGAATGCTTATCATATGCTGAGAGAAGTCTGTACTATGCAATAACAAATTTTGTGTCAGCACCAACTGAATATCGATTAGAGGAATGGGCATCACTTGTCAATTTTTGTCTCGTCTATATTGAAGCTATTATTCTTGAGGATGGGAACGATATGCTGTTTACATTGAATGACAAAATGCCAAGACTTGTACAGTCATTGACTCAAATTATAACAAGTCAATTGGATTCACCATTTGACAAGAATTGCCCAAAGATGCATTTAATTAATTTAACATCCCCATGGATCATCCTATTTCCACTTGTACAGCGTGAAGATGACATCCTCAATGCTCTGCATAGCAAAAAGAAAGCCACAGAAGAAAATGTTGAGGTTGAAGAATTTGGTGTCGTTGCTAATGCAATAACAATGCTTTTTAGTGCTCATGAGCTAATGGGAAGAAAACAATGGTGCATGAAAGACAATGGAAAATTGTGGCTCTTCTTGCTCGATAATTTAGCTCCAATTTACCGAACGCCAATGCTTGATCCATTCCGTGATTATATAGCTGAAAATTTGGAGCAAACTACATATTGTTTATATGGATTTCCTGCTAAGAAGGCACGATTGCGACACATTGAAGAGCATGACGCAAAAAATATCGATTTGACATGGGAACGTGCAATTCAGCTGTTTGATCTTTATAGACCCGATACATTGCCTGAATTTGACTCATTCAAGTTGTCATCAATTACTGCAGAAATGGAGCAATTACTGCAACGAATATTAGTGCTTATTCCAAAGTGTCTTGATATTCAACCATTCATGAGTGAAGTTAGAAATTTCATCAATGGAACAGCAACAGCGCTGCCAAAAGAAATGAACATACTGCCAAGTAAGATTTCAACAATTTACTACCTCCTCGCTGATTTCTACTTTAAAAATCAAGAGACTGGAAAGGCTATAAAATTCTTTATCAGTGATCTCACAATGAAACCCGATCGTTTTGATTCGTGGGCTTCAATGTCATTATGTAAGCAAAGTAAATTGGAAATGCGATTGAACTCTTATAATTCAATTGACGTAAAGAATTATCTCGATATGGCTGATCAGGCAATTGTTTGCTTTAATCAATGCTTAAAATTGAAAAAGACATCAACAATTCTCACAGAATTTGGATCATTTACTTATCATTTGCATTCATTCTGTTCGAGGAATCTTAAGCAAGCAAGTGAGACATTATCGATGGAAAACTTTGCAGCTCTCGAAGAGCGAAAAGAAAAATTCCTCAATTTATCATACAAATGCTTCAGTGAAGTCTCACAGCCCACATTCGACAAGACGACTGTTAAAAATTCTGAAGATGATGAAAATCACGATGAGAAATGGTATTATTCATTCATGTTAGGCAAAATAGCAGAGAAGAGGAAAGAAGTACCATCGGTTTATTTGAATCTATACCTAAAATCTGCAAAATATCTGTATGAAGACAACGCAACGTATCCAATTAAAATTAATCACAATAATCCAACTCATCTTGCCATTGAGTCATTAGAGGTTTTCTATCGTACAACAGCGTGTATTATGAAATTCATTGAGCAACATGGCAAAATTAATAAGCCGACTGCAAAGTTGTTTATAAGAATACTTAAGGAATTGGCAACGAGCCCTTTTGCATATAATCGAGCCAAAATTAATGGTGAGTAGATTTTCTAATTATTTATTTGTGGGCTAAATGCTAATAATCCTTAACAAACATTGAGTGTATTTTGGTATCATCGAACATCTGTTAGGATAAGCTCAGATTCCAAAAAACTCAATAATATTGAATAACTCAGAAAACTTCTATTGGCCTGAACGCTCAATTTAACGATTAATCGTGTTCTTTTCTTATTCATACAGAAGACAACATAAATGCATTGAAGCGAAAAATCAACACAAATGGTGTAGGCGAGGCAAATCAATCAAAACAAAAGGTACCGAAATTGGAACAACCTCAAGCCGCAAAGAAATCTGAAGAAACTGAAAATCTATCAGAAATGTTGTTAAATCTCACAAATGTAGTAGCTGATGTTGAAAACATGGAGGTTGATGGAGTTCCGAAAGAAAATGATGAATTGAAGACAGTTGAAAAGACAGAAGCTGAAGAGAATCAGCAGGAGCCACCAATTCAGCCAGTCATTAGAAAAATCATTGATACTGAAGCTGGATCAAGGCGTGGATCACAAGAAAGTGCCATGACCTCAACAACAACGACTTCAACAACACACTCATCATCGACATCATCAGATTCAAGTTCTGATAGCTCTGACAGTGATTCGACAAGCAGTGATGATGAAACGGATCAAGAGAATGTTTATGTTGATGAGGAAATGATAAGTACGATTTATAAGATGTGTATAAAAAACTTTGAGGAATGTATTAGCCGCTTTCCCGAACATTACAAGTCAATTTATCGACTTGTATATCATTTCTTGAATATTAATGAATCTAAAGATAAATGTCGACAATTATTGCTTACAAATGACTATAAAACGACACTCGGAAATTCTGTTGGTGGATTATTTCATGAGAGGAAAAACAATAATTTCTTTAATGGAATTTGGCGTATACCATCACAAGAAATTGATAGACCAGGCAATTTCACCACTCATTTGTCAAAATGTGTCATAATTTTGATGGATGTGCTTAAGAAAACTAATGATTATGAAACATTAATAGATTTAGCATTACAATTGCAAAGAAATCCTGAAGCAGACAAGAAGTATCTCAGTGATACCGACAAGAAAGAATTATTTCAACAAGCCGTAGCGTGCGGTGTACAAGCATTTAAAAATAAATTGCGTGAAGTAATGAATGGCATTGTAGATGGTAAAAATAATGACAGAGATTTACTCTCGCTTATGTTGGAGATTTTTAAAGCGAATCGTAAGACATTGAAGACGTTTCAACAAAAGGATCAAAGTTTGTTTTCAGGCGTTTTAGTTGAAGTTTATAGAGAGTACATAAAAGATAAAATGATTCTGCCAGAAACTGCCAATTATACAGATTTGGCATTTAAGATGTGTCAACAAGAAATCAATTACCGTAAGAACTTAGAGAAAGGAATTGTTACAACAAATCCGAATCCAGTAATGCCATTATTACAACAACAACCATTACAAACTCAAGCTACGTCTTCACCTATCCTCGTTAAATCAGTAAGTGAAATAAATAAATCAATAATGAGCAGTAGTAAACCTGGAAATCCTCCAAATCCTCAGACAAATAATCAAAATGCACTTTTAAATGTTGAAAAGACTCCAAATACGACCACAGCATCTTCGTCAGCTACAACTTCAAGTTCTAGTGCAAGAACAAAGCCAAGATCATCAAATTCCAATAAAAACACAACAGCAAGTTCAACGAACCTGAATTCTATGTACAATTCTATGTTAATGGCACTTTATAGTAATCCAGCTGTGCTCACTTCATCATACATAAGTGAATATTACAAAATGCTTGGCATGCCATCATCCTCATCAGCTGCTCCACAACTTACTGCTCAACAATTAGCACTGCTTGGAGATCCAAATTTTGCAAATACTTTGTTGTCTAGCTTAACTGGTGTTGGTGCATCTCCAAATTCTTCAAAATCAGCATCAAGCAGTGAATTGAAATTTTTAGAGTCACTAATGTCATCAACAGCAACAGCAGCACCAAGTAGTAAAGGAAATCATTTACAAGGATTACAACAAAATGTATTGAGTAATTCACTATCGATTACTACAACCACAATTTCATCCACAACAAGCACAAATAATAGAATGTCATTGGGAACAGCATCTACAAACACAACAATTTCAAAATCACAACCAAATGTCTCTGTCAGAAAATCTATGGGAGATGTAAAAGAGCATTCAAAGAAATCAACAAAAGAACCAAATGCTGCAAAGATGGTGGATAATTTGAGTAAATATGGACTTTTAGGAACAAGCCTTAATCTTCCAGATCTTCCAAAATCATTGTCAATTACACCAACAATTCCGAGTGGTAACAGCATGAAGAGTAGTTCTGAAAAGAAATCAAAAGAAAAATCATCAGTCAGCGTGTCAGCATCATCGATGAGCTCACTTGGAAAATATAATTTAAATTCATCACTTTCAATTACGCCTGAAACATATTCATCAACACAGAATGCAAGTCGTTTGAATATGCTGCAGTCATATCAAGAATTCCTAAAATCTTATCCAAACAGTCAAGGTACTCCACCTAGTAAAAAAACGACATCATCACTGTCTGCTGGACATGGAGTCACAACATCTTTGCTTAAGCAACAAAAATCTAAGAATGTATCACAGCCATCAAACCAACAACAGCAACAAAAGAAATCGCAAGTTCCAAACACGAAGATTCCTTATGACTTTGGAAAGAATATTGCATCCAGCTTCAGTGGACATCCAATGGCATCACCGAAACCTACACATTCATCATCACCATTTTCTCAACACACACCACCATTGACACCCTCACCATCTTCTATCGTTAGTCCACCAAAGACATTACAACAAAAATTGGCTGAAAGAAAGCAACAAAATCAGCAGCAAAAGAGTAATGCAAATAAGAAGCCAGGTAAGAAATAAATGTTCAATCAACCGTTAATTATATCAAGTCTGAATTTATTTATTTATTTTTTCATTCTCAATTATTTCTTGCACTTTTTTCCCACAGATAATGATGATGTAATTGTACTCGATTGACTTGGCGATTGAATGTTTTGTAATTAAAGTTTATCGGTGAGAATATCATAAATAAAGAGCATTTAGACTTTACATCCAGAAAGAAATTTGTTTTATTGTTTTTCACAAGTCTTGCTATTTGTTTTTTGCTTATTTACCTTCGGATGTGGGGTGCGCCAATAGGAAATTGAGCGTTAAATTTGATGAAAACATTTGTGAACACGCGTTTTTGAAAGAGAATCTTAGCCTTATTGCAACTAGACAGGAAATTAAACTTCCTCAGCAATTTTAAAATCGATTTTTAAGAATATTATTTTTTGCTAATTTAGGGTGGATATTGGATGATAAAGGGTGACTTTTTTCGATCAGTAAAATTGAAATAATTTTTGGATTCATCTGTAAATGATGTTAGTTGAAAACAGAAGACAGTTTGCAAATCATTTTTGAAACACCAATGAGACAGATTCGTGATCTGAACATATCTCCAAACAAAACTTTATATAATGAATGATAGATCAGTCTATGGTGGGACTCAAACCCACACCTTCACAAATAACGTTTACAGATATCTGGGTCTGTTGCCTAGCTACTCGCGCTACTAAGACCTTACTGTTGGACTGGCAGATTCGCCTATATACGGCTTGAAACCTTAGATCTCACTATTCCGTGACACTACAAATTCGATTCAGTATTTTTCTTTTCCAGTCAAAATCTTTCACATTCTCTATAATAGTTTTTAAAATCATTGAATTTTGATATCTGATCAGAGTTTCAGAGTTACACAGCAACAGATTTACACATCAAATTTAAATTAAATCTGAAACCTAAGCTTTACGGTAAATCCTTCATAAATTCTAGAATCAAGAATTTCACTGAATTATCCAATGAAAGCTAAAATCTAAACAAACAGCTTATCCAATAATCCTAAAGCCCATTGGCACAAACCTATAAATCAAATCTAAACAAAACGTTAAGCACAGTAATGCACTGCTCGAAAACGTCAATGAATACATACACAAATGAAGATTAATGCACACAGAATATTAATTAAACGGAAGCACCTGTGAGTAAAAACTTTCTTGTTCTTGCAAAATTCATTTAAAATGCATAAAACTACAGAAAGAAATACTCGTGCTTGAATACTTTCAAAAAATTCATTTTTCGTTCATGTTATGAAGTCATAAAGAACCATTCGCAGCAAATGAATGTTGTAAGACTTTGGCATTAATCAGGTGCAAGTGTGGTGAAGAACAAAAATAAAATTGTTAAACAATTTCATTTAGGGAGAAAAATTTTCATAATTCATGCAGGGGGTAATTTGAAATAATGATGGAAGCCTATGGAAGGCAAGCATTTGTTTTATTTTCTACAGCACCCTTTTTAAAACAGAAGTTTCGTGGCGACTGGAATAACATTGTTATGGCAATATTTGTAATTTTTGTGGTATCACAAATGTGTTAAAGTGCTGTACTGTAATGAGTTTATTTAATAGAATTTTTCAGATGTTTATTTATTGGCTAGTGTACGGTAATGTATATGATACTAGTCATGATATGACAAAATAACTATGAATTTTTTAAAAGAAAATTAATTTAATTCTAGAATGTTTGATGTGTTCGGTAGAAATATCTTGATTGACATTTGTTTGAATAATTTACATAAAAAAATGCATTTATTTCAGCTTATAGGTTGGGAAAGGGGCTTAATCTGTGTGATATTAAATGTACAATTTTATTAAATTAGGGATTTTTAAAGCCAGTTATTAGATAATTGTCATTTATGAATGACTTCTAAGCATTGATTAATACGTTATCTTGGTGATTGGATGATACCAGACCTTATTTAGACACAAAACTCCCAATCAACAATGATTTAGTCCAGTAATGGCAAACCCATGTGCCGCGGCACACTAGTGAGTAGTGAAATAATTGAGGAAATACCATGAACCGTATGGTGTGTGCGGTTTTGATCATGGCTTAACACCAGATGTGTCGTGGCACAAAAAAAGTTGGCCAACACTGATTCAGGCTTTTAATTGAGTGAGCAGCAGTAATCCAAAAAAAACTATAGTAGATTCTAGCTTTATTGCAATTACACGACATTTATTGACAGCAAACAACACAATTGACACAACTCAAAAAAAATCTTTTTAATTACAAGAACTAATTGTTATGAAAAATAAACACAATTTACTAGAATGCATCACATTTCACCTATAAAAGTTGTAAACATTCTCGGGTGATAAAAATAAAGTTTTATGGGTTAATCGTAAATCATTAAATTAAATACTTAAATAATATTATGAGATATGACTAAGATGCAGTTTAAAATGCGAGCAGTGAACTTAATTGCTTGAAAGCTTACAGTGTAAGTTGTATGATTGTGTATTATTAATTCTATATAAAGTAGCTTAGCAATGAAGGGTGACTAGGGTTGGTCATAAAGTACACTATGTAAAGAGGCTTAATCTGGGGACGATAATGGGGGATCACTCCTCGAGGGTCAAAAAGGAATGTACTTCACTTTAGGGTGTAGGTAATTTTTTTCTAAGACTTAGGTAGGTGTCACGAATAGCCCAAGAAGCCAACCTCTGATCTAAATTCAAATTTTTAACCTTAAAATAAAGCTTCATGTTCCTTAAGAGACTTCAATTACATTCTGTTCTCGTCCATCGAATTAAATTCAAAATTGATTTCATTTGAACTACTTAAAGACATCAAATTATCAACTTTTGGAAGAACGAAAAAATAAATATCAACCAGATACTTGATTGCATTGCAATTAACAATTTAAAATTCCAAACAACATTTGTTGAAAATAAATTGACAATACAAAATAATTCTTACTACACAAAATTATTTCACAACATTCTATAAAAATAACACCAAATAAGTACTTTTTTTGCCGGCAAAATATATAACCAGTTTCCCAAAAAAATAAAATAAAGGCAACTGTGTATTCATGTGCACATTCGAGTTTCATGGTGCTACAATTTCTGTTGAAGAAGAATATAGAAGGTAATGAAAGTAACGAGAAGAATCGCCCAAGGCAGAACATTCATTTCATTTATTATTTCAATTTTTTTTTTCGTTTGGGTGTCTCAAGAATATCAAGTTAACATGCTGTACAGAAGAAAGTTCATTGAAAATATTTTGATTGATATTTGAGGGACGTATGTTCATGTTAAATGTTTAAGTTGCTTCTTTCGACTCCTTTCTACTTACAATCAAGGAGGGTCGTTCATAAATCATGTCCAAAAGTCAACATCATCTATAAAACGATGATTATCTAGCATCAAAAAGTTTAATGAAGCTTAGACTTCCCATGATCCATTTTATGTTGGACATCATTTAAGATCAACCCCAAAACCAGTTTTCTACCAAAAAAAATAAAAGAACTTCACGGTGTCATGTTCTGAGGTTGCTGGAGCATTCTACTGTTACATTTGATAACTTTGATCAATTCTGTCTGAGAATAAGTCTTTGAAAGGACCCAGAACAACAAGACAGATTGACAACAACAACGAAAATAATGTATTTAGTTTCAATTGAATTCATTAGCGCACGAAGTGTTCTCATGACTCATAATGCTTGACTTGTTTTTAAATTGCTGCCGTTTCAGATGATGATGATGATTTAAATGATCTTTGATCTGTGATGACTTGACTTGTATGTACATGTATGACAAAAAGCGAAAAAAAAGCTTAATTGAGGCAATTCCACTCGCTAAAATTCGATTATTCTGTTCGCAATTTTCTGGTTTTAATTTTCTGACTTGATCTCTCAAATTAGATATTTTTCTATTACATTATTTCAAAGCTTTTGCAATAATTCTGATTCTATTTGATCGACATGAAATTTCCGTGATAATTACCGCAGCAGCAAAAAAAGAATAATTTCCGTGCTAAAGGAAGAATCCAAATATAGTTGAAATTCTAATTATAGGCAAGCAAGCAACGAACGATCGGCACAAAATCAAGTTATATGTGTGTTTACATGTGGCTAGTGTGTGTCGATAAATACATTCTCAATTGGATATACGTATAGATACATTATTGTACATTTATCGAATGCTTGGATACCAAAAATCTACCAACAATAAACTACACAAAAACGTGTATGAGAAAGAGATAGAGGAGAGAAAAAATACTGTATTGGAAAGGTATTGGTTGGTTGTTGGCTTGAGCGCAGTTCTTGTTTGGTTGTGAAATAATTTTTGATAAAAAATATTCAATTCAAATAAATTTACTTCAATGAAAACATTTAACGTTCTTAATTTTTTTGAATTTAATGAAAAAAAGTAGCAGGCACCTTTTCATTGTTTTGATCTTTATCTTTAGTCTTGTTTTTGATTTCAGCGAGTAAACATCATAAAAAACTTTAATTTAATTATTAGATCTTAAAATAAACTACCTACATTTAGGTAAGAAACTGTGTATTTTTGATCGCAATCTACATTATCACGATAAGTTTAATAAGAATCTTAATTTTAATATTTTAAATCAACAAATAACAGTTGATTTGAATTAAAGAAGATATTCAGACAAAATTAGCACAATACAGCTAACGCTGCTGCTTTATTAGCTTGAAAAACTTGCTTTAGTATAGTTTTGCTTCCAACTCGGAATAAATTTTCATTTTTACAAACGCTTTTTTCAGTGTTTGTGCTTTCAGTTTATGTTTTGCTTTCGTGCCATCAAGTTTGTGTCGCCAGTTGTCTTCGGATCTAAAAACAGTTTAATATAGACAGTGGAAACACATTCGAGTGGAATAGAAGAGAACAGAATAATTTTATATAAATAATTTTATTATTTCTAATGCTTTAGTGCATTGATTGAAATTTACGTTCATTTCCGATGACAAAAAGTTTTGTCGATAAATTTTCATGTACATTCAAGAAATCAATAAGTGAAGGCAGTTATAAACGATAATACTGGATTATTACAACATTTGCATTAAGTCGCATAGCAAATTCTGTATATAACAGGTGTTTTAAGGTGATTTACAAAATAATTTTAACAAAAAGATAAATAATAGTGCATTAAGCATGACGCAATACATTTCAAATCCGGCAACTTTTTATAAAGTTCTACTTCATTTTAAATGAG